ATAGATGGGTCTCCACGCTTTTGAGGTGTATTGTCCTATAGGGACATCAGTGCTAATAGAAGCATTTGCAGCTAGTATATAAGGTTTAGTTATTCTCTTTAAGTTAGTAAAATATTTCTGGTAACTGATTTATTATATTTTAGAAAAGAATTACTTTTTGAACTTTAAATTCATATTGATTTGTGCGAAGATTAAAACTAGATAATGATAATTAATTCTAAGAAATTTCCTTTTTCAACTGCTTATTTTTTCTTGTTGATAATTTTAAATATTTAATTATAGATGATTTGTAGTCAACATATATTTTTAACCTGCTTTGAGGACTCATCTTTGTGCATTGTGGCAGAGCAATTGGAATATATACTGCACATTCAAAAATTATGAAATGGGAAATATTTAGTTTCTGATCATAAATCAATTGTATAAGGGAGAATGTATGATAACTCGTTAGCCTGATAAGTATAAGTGCTGCTGCATGCAAAGTGACATGCCTCCAAACAAAAATTGAGAGTTTAGATTTCATAAACAATGGCCTTATAATTAGTTGAAAGTGTTTAATAAACGATTTTACTAGACTGTTTTGTGTATGAGCATGAGCGATAGGCTGTTTAATAATTATTTCAACTAATACACAATATTAATTAAAAGCTAAAAATGTAAATTTACCAACATTATAAAGACGAATAGTCTTAATTACATAATCAAGAAAATGTGCTTGCAAACATATGATCACAAATGTCAAATTGCAAGTTGATAATAAAAACACATGTGACCATCTAGTTCATGCATCCATTAAAACTGTAAAATATCTAAATGGTCCACATAGTGGATGTATGAATCCACATATATCACCCTAAATATATTTAAAAAATATATAAAAATTAAGTCCCAACTTTAACTAGTGATGGCCTTATAATTAATTTGCTTTTGGAGTAAGTATCACATGAAAATTCATTAGATTGACAAATCTTTTAGTTTTTCAATGGATGATCACATTAATTTTCAATAATTTTTCACATTATTATTGATTCGGAAAAGTCCAACTAGTCATAACAAACATCAAAACCATTAGTAAACTTTAAGTTTGCTAGAGTATAAGTTTCAATCATTTTAATATTTGTATAGTACAATCAATAGAACAAAATGAATAATTTTTTTTAACACACATTACTTACTCGAAATAATTGATGTAATGTAGAGGTATTAATTGTCTCTTTCTTTTGTTGTCTCAATATGATATCCATACAGATGAATATCTTTAAAACTTAATAAATTTCTTTAAGACATTAAAAATAATATATCTTCTATTATAAACTTTATTCCTTAAGGTAGTAAAATATTGACTCTTCTGGTGCCTTCAATTAATCTTGAACTACTAAATATTGTATTAACATTAGTTTTTTTATCATCAAATTGGAAAAATATTTTTTGTCTTTAAATATAGTGTGTGTTGTAGCAATGTCTACTAGACATATATTTACATCATAGATCTTAGATCTAATAAGATGAATATCTATATTTTTTTCAATAAAAAAAAGAATATATACAATAAAAAACTTGCAAGTAAACATAAAGAACATTAAATACATAATTAAAACAAATAATAAGAATATATCATTTAAATATGATAAGAACATATTAAAGAATGTTCATAATATAATTATACTAAAATATATCAATTACTATTAAGTTTATTCTTGGATATTTTCATTATCAATCAAATGCTCAATTCTTTTTTCAGGATAAGAAAATCAACAACAATATTTTCATTATCAATCATATTATCAATTCATATTCAGGGTGGACAAATATCTTAATGTGCTATATCAACTTGGCCATAGTTAAATCATCACAAGATGTCTTAGTTTTCCCAATGATAATAAAATTTAAGGCGTAAAACAAATACATGACGAATAGTCCTTCATGCCACACCAATGATAATACATTTTCTATATTCTTTTTATTATTTCCATTTTTATCTTTTCATTATTCATCCACTCCTGATGGGTTGAAGTATTCATTTACTTTTGGTAGGTTACAAGTACCCATGCACTTTGGATGGGTGATCCACTTATAATGGGTTATCTACTTCTTGTGCATTATCAATTTTTAATGGGTTAAGGCATCCATCCACTTCACTTCTAGTGGTAAAAATATTTTTAGATTTTGATGGTAAAATTATTCATCCGCTTCTGGTGGTTCTTAGATTTTGATGGTAAAATTATCCATCAAAATTAAAATTATCATTTCTAACGGTAAAATTATCATTAGAATTAAAATAATGATAGTGTAAATTATTATAACAACCTCTTCTATGTTTATAATAATAATTATTAAATGATGTTGCATTTATTTTAGGAAATGGATGGATTCATGACCATGACCATAATTATTAAATGATATCATATTCACTTCAGGGAATGAACATATTTATAATTTTTTTATTGATAGCTCATTTGTCACATTCACTTAAGAAAATAAATATTCATTATTTTTTATTAATAGCTATATAATAGCAAATATACTTTTCAATCAAAGAAAAAAATATAATATATAATACATGATAGCAAAATTCATATTAATGTTGATTTTCAAGGAATGAAAACACTAAAGAGATATCAAATCACTTATCTGATTTGCTATAACCAGAAATTAAAGACCAATAACTGAAATCTTTTTAAAGTTTGAAGATGATGAAAATAAAATAATACTAAACACTTACCGAATTTGCTAAAACCAGAGATCAAAACAAATGATGAAAACAAAATAATTCCAAAGCTTGAGAGATCAGAGGATCGTATTGATAACGTGTTATAAAATAAATCTTAAGAAAATAACTATAAGATAAATATAAGAAAAAGTATTTAAAAGGAAAAAAAAGTATGTAGATGGAGTAAAAAGATCTTATTTAAGTGTGTATTTACAAATGAAGTGAAAAAACCTATTTATAGACTAATAGCCCCTTATCTAGATTGATTTTACGAGATGAAGATAATTCTAAGAGATTAGATGGATTAAATCTTAATGTTGATCCAATCTAATTTATATTCAAATCTATATATAAATAGCACAAATGGATATTCATAAAAATATTCATAACATATTTCACTTTTGTAATTTTAATATTGTAAACATTTGACTTTATATATTTATTAGCATAAAAATTCAAAATAAAAAAAATTCATTTTTAACATAATTGTTGTTATCCCTTTTTATTGAAGTTAATTACAATCCAAAAGTTGAATCTTCACTTTCCCACAGATTTCTTTGTATACATGTTACACATCATTCATTAGCCCATTGTCGATAATAACATGGGTCGAAAATTATTAAATTTTAGTAGAAACTTTCAACTTAAAATCAATTGACTATAAGTGTCTGTTTAGTTTAGCTTCTTTTTTTTTAGTTTATCTACTTCTTAAAAACAAAAGTGAGGTTAAATAGGATTTTTAAGAAACTCTTAAAAAAAAAACTTTTTTAGAACAAAATTTTTAAAAAATTGTATTCTCCCTCTCCTCTACCTCTCTCTACAAAGACTACTAGAAAAAAAAGGCCTAATAATAGAATAGCAAAATTTAAGATTTTTTTGTTTAGATTAAAAAAAAAGATTCAAAATTTAAAACTGTATTAAGATACTATTTAAAGGTTTTGTCTCTTCTTCACCAAAAGATTTTAATATCAAATACATGGTTTCTGATTTTTTTTTCTTTCTTGAAAAATTGAAGCATCATATGGTCTGATTACTTGCTAGATTAACAAAAATATAATACTATTACCTCCACTATATAGGTTTGAGAGTTATTCCCTTTTTTTTTATGAATTTGTTTGATTTTAACATTTGAAATCGTATATAAACTCGAAACAGATTTATTTCGTTTTAATTTATTAAGTACTTGAAGATGGCATGAATATTCTTTATGATAATTTTAACCAAAATAAGAACTTATATAATTTATTTTATCAAATAGTTTTAATTTAATTTTAAAAATTATTATATTTTATAAGAATTTTATAATAACTTTTAAACGAAAAAAAAGTAGACAAATAGGCTCTTACTACGATATTCTTATTATATTTATATTTTTAAAGTACTATATGTTTAAGAAATGTGAAATTTCTTTTAAAATTGTTTTGATACTCCTCCTCTCATGTAGAGACTGCAAACCTATCACATGACATAAATCAATAAAAGGAGATCCACAAATGAAGATAGTATCAGCTTTGATAACATACTAAATTTTTTATATGGATATCTAATGTAAAACCAATTAAGATAAACTTATATTATATTTTTATATCCAAATTATCCTTAATTTGACATTTATCGAAATTTCTTTTATATCGTGGATTCAATAAACATTGTTTTGAAAATATTATTTTAGGACTAGATTTGGTGGATCTAAATCCTAACATATTATATTAGTTAGGGAAGCTTTGAGGTGGAAACAATCAATGAAGGCGAAAAGAGAGAACAATGAGGAAAAGAAGACATACGCTGTCAAATCCTACCAAATGTACACAATATACAGGACAGCGCTCACTCTCTCTCAAATGTTTCAAGCTTTTATTAATTACTATTAATGTAAGTGCTTATTCTTCTCCTAATGTCATAAACTTCTTTTGTGTATTCACTTAATTATGAAGATGATTATTTCTGGGATCCATTCTTTTGCTTCCATTTTAGCTTCTACTATACATGCGCATTTACCAAGGCTAATTACAATGATAGTGGTCGATAGGTTCGAGTTCTTCCAACTCTCAAGCCAATGAATGAGCTAGTTTATGGCGGCCCACGCCTGTTTTACTTAGCAGTAACAGGTAGCATGCTGATGTCCTATTACTCGAGCCAAATAACTAAAGCAAGACTTAGGGTAAACAACAGCTAATGAAACAGTAGCTAGCAATACCCACCACCGTCCATTTTTATATCAACATATACATTTATATATATATATATATATATATATATGAAGCCTTAAAGCAGTTTACATAATAAATGAGTAAACAGAGAAAGAGACCATTAAATTAGATTATTGAAAAAAGAAAAGGTACCCAGTCATGCAATTATCTATAGAATAATTACAGTTACATCAGTTAAAACATTTCTTGGAAGAGAAAGGATGAGGGTTAGCCTTAAACAATTCTGGACAAAGGTAGAAGAAACCTGCAAAGAAAAGAATCTGACTTTGTATCTAATATGTTATGCTGTCTACACTGCCTTCAATACCTCCATTAGAGAAAATACGCTTCCGCATCAAGGTCAAGCAGTGATGAAGGAATTGATTTTACTACTTACAAGAAATGGCAAATGCGGTTACGACTATTAACCATAAATCCCTCTAGCGATCTTTAACTCCACTTTAATTTTGAGGGGACAAAGAATTATCAATTTACATCTGTCAGCTAATTCCATAAACAACTTCACTACCTTAATCATCCCCAATAGGAAGATTTAGATCTGGTAGCATAAAAGAAGCCTCACAACTCACCACGTCCTGTACAGATACTTCTCTTTCATTGCACCCGACACTTGAGGGCTGAAAAGCTACTTCTCTTTGCGGGGATAACTCTGAAATAGTATTCTCTGGTTCAGGAAAAGCCATAGTTGTTTTGGTTGGCTGATGTGATTGATATTCAAGCTGTAGAGAGAAATTGGGGTAACAGTTAGGTCTTATTCAGCATCTCGCCTCCATATTTAGCTACTTGCAAATATAAAGCACCTCAGAGATGGAGATAGCACAGGTTTCATTTTTTAACAATTAAGGACCTACTGTCACTGTGTCCTCATCAACATTATACAGATAGAATCAAATAAAAATGATTTATCATATAAATGTATGTATATAACTACAATTATTTATTAGTATACACCATTAACACCATAGTTACCAGTGATGAATGTCGATGAACCCATAGTTGGAAGCACATGCAGAAATGCTGTTAACTTTACCAGCAAAGTATTTTGATTATAGTTCTCCATACAAAATTATAATAACAGTAACATAGACCAACCAGCTGTCTTAAAACAACATGCATTCCACACACCAAAAAGAACAACTAAGAAATTCTATGCAAAACTCAAAAACATTCACAAGAAAATGCAGGCCTCTATAAATGAATATCAGCAAAATGCATCCAAATCTTTTCTAAAGATCAAAAGCATTTTCTCTGCTATAGCAAAAAAATTTACATTCAAAAGTACCATTCCATGAACATTAGACTCAAGTGACAAATTAACACTTGTGACAGATAATAAAAAAGTTCATTACTGTAAGACCATGAAGATTCAACCGCCTAAATTTTGCTAGCAAACAATTGCAATGTCTATCTGGGACTTCTCTACATTAGCTGCTAATGCCATAGCATTACAAAAGCTATAATTTGGATTATCATGCCAAATTTCAAAGAACCATAGATATCGAAATACAAATTTTCACTCAAAGTTTAATGAGTGCATTTCAGCCATGAAAATAAGCTCTGATCCTATTACAAGTTCACAAACCAAACACCTAAGAAATAAATGAGATTGGTTGTTTTAGTCTAACTATAAAGAAATAAAACCATGTCCTACAAGATAAACAAAGTGATTCTGAAATATTCATTACCATATGAAGCTTAGATTTGTGGTATATACTGCAAACCATAAAGGAATTATAAGAAAATAAAATGCTGAACTGTGTTGAAGTATTGCCAATGAAGTTATGTAGACAAACTTATGTTTGTCATCAGCATCCTCACTTATGTCCAAAACAAAAAGGCATCCATGCAAAATAGCAAATGCACTAGCAGCCACACTTGCTGAAAGAGGGAGAGAACTCTTCACCTTTATTCTCTTAGAGCTCTTATTTGTGGCTTGCTCTTTCTCGAATTTGAGCTTTCTGCTCAAAGTTTCATTTATGGCTCTCAGATTCTCAAATTTGAGTTTGACTATGTCTAATTCCTGCTCAATTAGCATAAAGTTAGATATTCCAAAATAAAAATATCTAAATATAAAGGGGGATAGGGGAAACGGTAAGTAGAAGTTAAATAACCTACATTTTTCAAACTCTTATGTTCCTCCAAGTGCGAACTCATCTCCTCTTTAAGTTCAGGTAACGTCTGCATACAACCAGAATTTCAATACATTATCAGAAATAAATATAGGAAAAGAAGATTCTAAGTGAACTTGTACTCTTTGATAACATGTCCGCACATATAGATTCAACTACATTAATCTATTTTCAAGCCATTAGAGTAGATCTTTGGTCTTCAAAATTACCGCTATTGCGATCAAGGAAACAATTAAATGCTAAATATGGTGACAATCAATTTGGAAAGCATTTAATACTAGAAATGACATGATAAGACAGTAAAAACATGCTACATTAGTCACACTCCACATGTCAATTTTCATATAATAGTTTAAACAGGACAAATCTATTATGCAGTCAATTACGCTCCATAGGACAATGGGTTAGAACTTAGAAGAATATATATATATATATATATATATATATATAGTAGACAATATCAATAAGGCCCCAAGCCTATTGTTCCATGCAATGTCTAGAAAGAGCAGGGCATAATGTTGAAAATTTTTACCTTTTTCCTTCTAGACCTCTTGGGGGGAGTTGTCTCGTTCGTAGCCGAAACCTGAATTATATCACACGTGGTGGAGCATATAATAGTCAATAATCTTATTCTTCGGTAACTTAATTAATTATACAAATTCGGGAAGGGGAAACTTCTGTAAAAAAATCACATGCGTAGTGAAGATATGGAGACATATAAAACAATAGCGACTATTCTTGAAAACGTTGTTTGTGAAGCATTGGAAATCAAAGTCATTTTCAAGAAGAAAAGCCAAAACTAGGCAAAGATGCAGGAAATATACCAAAGGAGGAACGTTCCTAAGAAAGTTCCCCCCACCCACCAAAAATAAATTCGTAGAGCAAGTGGCAAGTGTTTACATTTATAAAAATACGACATAGCATCATGCCGCTGTTTTATAAGAAAAAACCAATAGCTTGCTGCCACTTCAATAACCCAAAACGAGTCACATCGGATGCTCGTGACCGAATTTGCCCCTTTGGCCCTTTACCACGTGCATTCAAAGCTTGACCCTTTCAAAACCGTAAGAAGCCCACCCCCCACACACGCAGTTCAAATGCAAGTGTAACACACCCCACAATCCCAAGTTCTCATCCTTGGACTTTGGTGCTTCTTTATCCACACCTTTTCTTTAAATAACTAAATAAAAAAGAGGATATGATTTTCAAGGTTTGGTAAAACCAATAACCAACAAGTCCGCTTATGCCATAAATTTGGTGACAAAGTGGTCCCCACTTCAATGAACAAAAGGGTCCTCCCAGCTTTTTGCCTTCATTTTCCCACAACCGGGTGTTTTTTCTTTTTCTTTTTCTTTTTTTTTTTCAAGTCTCTCAATTCAATGCCTTTTACATGAAACATTAAATTGACTGGGATTTCAACCTTTTTGGACCAAAGACTCCATCGACAAGCTGTCACTTGTGGGAATCACTGCCCAATCAATAAATTTTGTTCCCCTACAAATAAGGGGCTTTGTTTGTGATCAAAGCTGTCATGCAGATCCAATGATGACACCTCAGAGCTAAAGAGAAAAATTTTCGCGTACGACCACACTGAATCATTCCCCCTTTGATGAAAGCACCCAAAAAGAACGCATCAAAGTGCATAGCCTCTAACAACACTACACCAAACTGCATGCAGACCTATTTTGCCACGAAAACACGCCACCGAAAATTCGGGCTACCATATTATTTTTCTTGACCACGTTGCCCCTCCACAACTCAGAGGAGTTTGACCAATGTTAGGGAGAATTTCGTCATTTTAATGGAACCCCATAAGGTATTGACTCAAAGAAGGGACTTCGATTTCAGGACACTAAAGACATAGTTGATGGGGAAAGCTGAAGACACCGGAATGACGAAAATGTTCATTAAGGGAAAGGTGTTCTAGTCTTTTTAAAAAGTGGATATGACACGCGGAGCTTTGTAATAGTAATGAAAGTGAAGGGGGAAGAAAACGTGACTGTCTATACGTTGAATGGAAGTCACCACAATTTCTCTTCGAAGCATAAAAGAAATTCTAAAAAGATTATTTGAACAAAAATGAAAAAGAAAAAAAAAAGAAAGTCATAAGTTTAAAAGAAAAGGGCATTTCAGTCAACGCAGTTTGAAGACAAAATCCCGTCCGGTGGCCGGAGAGCATGCTCGATCTGGCGTTAACGTCCTTGGAGATGCACGAGAAATCCCCATGCAAAAAAGACATAATCGTCCTCTGAAAAATCTTACACATAAAAAGAAAACAAAAACTCCGACAAGAAATGAAGCCCTAAACGAAAAATCGAGCTGACAATTGCCAAAACGACGTAAATCTCGCACTTTTCTAAGGGCAATTTCGTCAAAAAAACAAAAAAAAGGGCGACAACAAGAAAAACCACCAAAGTGAAAAAACAGAGTTAACCACACGACTCACTGAGTCGTAAAAAAAAAAAAAAGAGGGGTAACACGTAAACGAACCTTAGATCTAGCGTTATCAACCGGCTTTAAAGAAGGACGGCTAGACCCCTCGGAGTCGTCAACACCACCGCCTCCGCTAACCGATGTGCCACTGCTCCATGAAAGTGGAGTGGTGGGGCTGGCTCGTGCTGGCTCGCTTTTCTTCCTAAGAGCCTGCTTAGACCGACGTTGATGGACACTCCACTCGAGTTGCAAAGTGAGCGAGCCACAGTTGTTCTTCGCTGACTGATTTGGCGGCGGTGGCGGTGGCGGAGGCTCCGCTTGGGCGAGGCTCATTATCACCTCAGCCACCAACATGTCATTGGTCATCGCTTCTTTGACCCACTCTTCTTCACTCATACTCCAACTTGGCTGAGTTTCCCCAAAAACAAAAAGAAGCCAAAGGCAAAGAAAGAAAGAAAGAAAGAAAAGAAAAAAGAGATGGTGGCGATGAAGAGACTGAAAATAAATAGGGGGTCTTGAATTTATATGTGAGCGACAGAGAAGAGATGCTATGTTGACAATCCTCGCTTTTTTCAATTTTGTTATTTATTTATTTTCCCTTATTTGGGAGATAGGGTTTGGTCGCAAAGCTATGCGGATCAATTTTTTCTTCTCTTTTAGTTTCTTTTTCAGTTTCCTTTATCTATCAAAAATTGTTTTTTTTAGGTGGGGCCAATCTGACACGTGGCAGAGATCGTCCAGTGCGCGAGGTTTTTGCTTCATGTTTTAGATTAGTTGAGAGAGACGGGGTAAGGGTCAAAGTCTTAACATAAAAGGCTTCAATGGTGGTCCCAATGCACGCGCGTCCAAGGCTCGTGCAATGTGCTGCACCGCTCGCATGATTCTTATTCTTATTCTTATTATTTCTTCTTTTAGGTTTATTCTAAAATTGTAGAGCCTAACTTAGGTAAAAGATATAATTATATAAAGTGGTGGAGTGTAAACTAGTTACCACATAAGGGACATACTTGCCCCTTTATTGATCGAAATTCGTTATAGTAATTGAAAATATCATTTATGGTAGGAGTAAATTAACCAATGTTGTGCCTCAGCCCGCCCACAGCTTCTTAGCTTTTTGCCTTTATATATATATATATATATACACACACCTACTCTTATTTAGTAACAACCAAAAATACTCTAATTTTTAACTAAAATGATTACTTTAGAAAGAAACCTATTGTCCATAAATTATATTACGCTAGAAGAAAGCTTGCTATGTATTGACTCATCTCTAATTATTTACGAGTATGATCAACTTTTTAAGAAATATTTTCATTATTGATATAATCAGAGGTAAATTGAAAATAATGATAGAGATGACGGTCATATTTTTTAATTTTATATTTTTATTTTAAATTTAATTATTAATTTAATTATTAATTTTATTAATTATTTTTATATAAAATTCTAAATCTATTAATATACATGACTCGGTAGACAGTTTTTAAAAAAGAGAAAGAAATCCATTAATTTTTCCTATAACCTTATTTCTACATATCTTGGTTGCCAACAACCTTTATAGGTACAAGAGGGCAGATGCGGCCCTACATTTTAAAGAACAATCGCGCTCACCTCAACTTAAGTCCTATCATTTGCACTAAAAGTTCTGATTTGAAGCTTTTTCTTATTATTTTATTATGTTTTTAAGTACAAAATAATTTTTTAAAAAATAAAATTACTTTAAAGTAGAAATTATATAGTTATGGTCTCACTCTCCATTTATATTTTATTTGAAATGCCTTGAATTTTTATTTTAAATTTTCAAAACATTTGAATTATTGAAGAGGTAATTTTGTAATAAAAAAATAAAAATAAGTGTTTTGATCGTTCAAAACTGTGTTTGGCAATCATAAAAGCGCCTAAAAGATAAGAAGATATTTTTGCGATTGACTCAAAAACTGCGATAAATAAATACTTTTTAAACCAAACCAATAAGCCTTGGATATTAGGTTTATGACAAATTATTTTTTGACATTTAATTATTTTATGTCAAATTCCCTTCAAAAATATATCCTCACCGAATAATCAAATGATAAATGTTGAAAATAATATTAATTTTAAGATCAATTTTCTATCCTATTCCGGTTAAAGAAACATATTATTATTACTAAAAAATTATCCGAATTTTTTAATTGAAAAATAAAAGAAGAAGAATGAAAGAAATTTAAGGGAGCAATTCTACGAACAAAGGCGCGCGTTTAATGGAAACCGTACGCGACAATGTGTTTAATCGGGAAGTTAAAGCGCTATCCGCTATCTTGTTATGGTTGAATTGCCGACTTGTCACCCAACTCAGAGCTTGTCGAGGTTCCATTGGTCAGTATAAAACACGCTCCTTCTTTATGCGTGGAGACAGAATTTTTTCCTGTATTTAGTTCGTTATGTATGAAGAGTGTGACTGTCTGCCAAACTCCACTCTTTCTGGCACTCGGTGAACTCCCCACTTGTTAAAACCTTTGACACGTGCCGACCACGTAGAATGGTTTTGGAGCGTGTGAGAAAATGGAAAAAAGGCTGGTAAATATTTAACGTGGCGTGAATGTGGGCTTTGCTCACATGGGGAGGGTATTTGGAATTTGGAATCTGGTGGGTTTTGACTGAAGAAAAACACCGTAAGATTGGAGGATGATGTATGAACATTAAACGGGGTGTCGTTTAAGTATGGCCACAAACACTATGAGCTAGCCATCATGATCATAGGTGGTATTTGATATTTTATAATGTAATATGATTATATGTAATGTAATTATAAGTAATGTGATTGTAAGAAAAATGACATTACAGGGTTTAGTATGTAAGTAAAATAATAATTAAAATATAAAAAAAATAATATTACAGCGTTTGGTTTACAAATACTTTCTTGATAATGTAATGTTAATTTTCAAAATTATCCATAGTTATTAAAATACAAGTTTAATATATTTATATTTTTTATTATTAATTTTTATATAATATCATCTCTTAAATATATTTTTAATGTCATATATTTTATTTTTATTTATTATTATAATTTTCTATATTTTATTTTTAATATATTTATATTTTTTATTATTATTTTTTATAAATATCACTCTAATATATTTTTAATCATCTATTTTATTTGTATTTATTATTATAATCTTATATATTTTATTTTTATTTCTTTAATATATTTTATATATATATTTATTTTATTTTACCTATATTATATAAATTTTAATTTTTATATTTTTATTTTATTTTAATTTTTGATTCTTATATTATATATTTTATTTTAATATATTTATTTTAATTATAAACAGTATAAAATATTTTTAATAAGGTAATAAAGTTGAAGGGTAAAATTATATTTAAGAACATTGCAGAGTGCAATATAATGTGATTGCATTGGTTTTGAACTACAATCACATTACATTCCTTGGCTGTAATGTGATTGCATTGCAATCTTACATTGCAGTGGTATATTGTAAAACAAACACTGCAATGTAATTTAATTGGACACATTACAGGGAATGTGCTCTCACTTTCCTGATACCAAACGCCACCATAGTCCAAAGGCTGCATGATGTACGAGTGGGTAAAATCAATTCAAATCAATTATTTATTTAAATTAAATATAATTTAAGTAAAATAATTTGATTTAATTAGTTTATTGAATTAATTAATTTAAAATATTTAAGTCAATTATTTTTGTATCGATTTTCAGTTTTAAAATTTTTAGACCAATCTATTTAAAAAACCAAACTAGTTATATATTTATATATATATAAATATGTATAATATATTTTTTATATATTAAGAAGAATTGATAGTAAATTTAATTAATAATATACTTAAAATATTTTATGGTATTATATGTACATATACAAATTATAATTATAGTAATTTAATATTAATTATATATAATTATTTATAAATTTTTATTAATATGAAATTACAAGTTATATATTTTAAATGATATAACTTAAAAGTTAATATTATAATATATGATAGTAAATATCTTATATATTAATATGTTATAATTATTATACTTTATTTTCTTTTAGAAAGAAAATTTTATTGCTTTATTAAGTCTTAAAAGATGTACAGGAGAATTTACTTTTCAAAGAAGAAGAGAAGAACAAATTAAATTCTTTGCATTCTACGAAGATTACATTAGTATACAATTTAAATCCAACTACAATTGAAAGAAAGAATAGAAAAGGCTATGAAAATTCATATGATGGTAATGGTTGTCCAAAAAAAAATTCATATGATGGTGATGTCTTTTCGATATAGTTTCTTTGTTCTGCAACTTAGTGTTTTGATATAAATATTTCAGAGTTGATCATGTTTATGGAATTGAAAATTGCTTTGTTTTTCCACCAATAGTTTGGGTAGACATTAAATTGCATTTAAATATGTTGACATTTTTAATCAGGATTCTTTGTTGTGGCATATGATGATTGGTTTGTTTGAAGTTTATTGGAATTTTATTTGTGCTATGCAAGCATGTTTTTTCAAGAAATTGTTATTTTAACTTTTGGAGAACTTATGAAGTTTAGATTGGAATTTTTGAACATGGAATGAACTTTGAGGTTCTCAGTGGAAATTGGGTTTAATTTTGCTAAAAATATAATCTTAGATTTTTGTTATAAGTTCATAATGGCAACTCTTGCTGATGAAGAATTCAAAGTTGATGGGATTGATTGAGATTAGGATTGTGAAAATATATTAGATTTGATTGGGAAGAATCATGATGAACTTGAGAATGAAAGATTAAATAATCAAGAGTGTTTAAATCCATTTGTTAGAATGGAATTTTAATCACCGGAAGAGGTTTTAGAGTATTATACTAAGTATGCAAAGCATGAAGGATTTGGAATTCGTAAGCATCTTATAATGAAATCTTGAAAAACTCAAGTGATCATCGAACAAGAATTTATTTGTTCAAAGGAAGGTTATCGTGCAAAAAAAAATCTTGAAAGGGAAGATAAAATTCAAGCACCACCTAATGAGACAAGAGTTTGACGCAAAGCCATGATTTATGTTTCTAAGAACGCTAAAGAAAAATAGTTAATTTTTACATTCATAAGACCCCATACTCATAAGCTCGCTATTCTGAAAAGTGCTTAATTTTTACGTGTTTATAGAAAAAAGATAAGAACTCAACATAATTTGATTAATGTGCTTGATGATTTAGGAATTCATCTTAGTAAAGTCATGTCTATTTTAGTTATTGAATCGAGTGGCATTGATATGGTTGCTTTAACTAAGTGTGATGTTCAAAATTATTTGAGTAATTAAAGACAAAAACAACTTGAAAAGGGAAATGCACAGTTAATGCTTACTTATTTTAAAGAATGTCGATCCAAGAATCCAAGAATTTTTTATGCAATACAAATGGATGTGGAATATCAACTAGTGAATTGATTTTGGGCTAATTTTAGGTCGAGAATGGCTTATAAGTATTTTGGTGATGTGGTTTTCGATCCAACTTATCTAACAAACAGTTATAAAATGCCATTTGTTCTTTTTATTGGAGTTAATCATGATCAATCCATTTTATTTGGTTGTGCTTTGCTGGAATGAGACAAAAGAAACATTTGTTTGGTTATTAAATACTTGGTTGGAAGCAATGTTTGGACATTGTTTAAAAACAATTATTACAGATTAAGATGTAGCTATAACCTATACAATTGCAAAAGTTTTGTCGAATAATACACATCATTACTACATGTGTCACATTGAAAAAAATTTCTAAATAATCTCATTCATGTTTACCACTAATTTGATTATTTCAAAAACAAAATTTTTCAATGTATTCATTATGCATTAGTTCCAGATGAGTTTTAATTAAAATGGGCAAAGATAATTGAGAAGTACAATTTGTGGGACAATAGTTAGTTCAAGGAGTTGTATTCTAGTTGAGAAAACTGGATTCCTGCTTATGTGCGGAGTAGCTTCAGGGCTGGAATGTCTACTACTTAGAAAAGCGAAAGCATGAACAAATATTTCAAAGATTATGTCAATTTGAGTACACTAATGTAAGTTTATGATTCAACATGAGAAGGCCTTTAATGCAAGATACAATAAAGAAAGAGAAAAAAATTTTCAAAATAATGAATTCAAAGCCAATTTAAAGACATTGTATCTAATGAAGAAAAACGCTTCAAACGTGTACACAAGAAAGATGTTCAAAAAATTTCAAGATGAATTGATTCATTCTCAATAGTATATTGTTGAAATCATCGTTGCAAATGATGATATGTACAAATACAAAGTGCAAGAATTTGGCAAAGAGAAACTAGAATATATTGTGACATTTGTTGGCTCATCAATAGCTACAACTAGTTTATGTCACATGTTTAAGTTTGTAGGCCTCAATTAACAGTTCTCATTAAGAAAAAAGTGCACTCATTACCTAACTATTACATTTTAAATTAGTGGACAACAGATGCTAAAAGAAGAGATATTGAAAGTATCTTGAATGAGCAACTTAAAAATAATGCTCCAAAGTCTTCAATGATGTTGTTTAACAGTGTCATGGTTCATTCTTTAGAGCTTTTAGAAAAAGCTTCAAGATCTCAAAAACATTACAATGTAGCTATCAGAGGTTTGCAATGACTATTTGAAGAGCTTAATACCTTGAAGATTGAAGATGACAAAATTAGTTACATCGATGTTTTAACAAGCAAGAATGGTCATAAAGATGTTGTTTCAAAAGATTATGAGTCACATCTTTTGAGTCATAATTTAACATTGCTTAATCAATTTTATGTGACTATGAAAGGACGTCCTTGATCTTTAAGAATGAAAGGAGCTTTAGAGCAAAAAAAAAATAAAATTCAAAGAAGTGTTCATTTAGCAAACATAAAGGTCATATAAAATGCACTTGTCTATTACTAAAACAATCAAGGTAATGTCTCATATTCTGAAATCTAGTATAGTTTTTTTCAATTAATTGAATGTGGTTTTTAAGTGCTAAACACTTTGTTTTTAGACAACTTTAGTATTTTATAACTTTTTCCTTTAATTTTTTTGAAGGTATCCTAGTTAACAGATAATGTTGGATCTTAATGCAACTAAAAATGTTAATTTTATTCATACCGATTAAGTATTTCATTACTCTAATAATGCTCCTATTCTTTACTTTGTTTAACCATGTTAATTAAGTTATTTTAAAATTTAAAAGACAAAACCTTTTTAGTTAATTTCTTTTTTATCTTATTACAAATATGAATGATGTGAATATTTTTGTACATATAGGATTCAAGTGAACCTCAAAGTTGAAATCAAGGATAAGGAAGTATGTTTTTATAAGTGTGATGAATGATTTGGACTTTCCTACCATTTCTATGCATTTATATAGCACTACACTGCACATTAGTGTTTTTGTGGCAAAACAAAATAGTTTGTTAATGCTGGTTAGATTGGCAATGCTTTCGTAATGTTCAAAATTTTCATTTGTTTAACATTTTTACTCTTTTCTTAGCACTGCCCAAATATTGTTTACAAGTAATGTTCAATTTTTCAAACAAGAATTAAGGATCCTTAATTGGTCTCATGTGTTGATTTTGATTTAATGTGTGCATAGGTAAGAACAGGGGCTTGCCCTTTTTGTTAAGATCTGGATTTGGGTCTTGTTTTTTGAAACAAATTATTGCAAAATTCTACTCTTCGTTATTATATTGATGCCCATTTTTTTTTTCTTGATTAACTAGACTAGTTAAAGGCTACATGCAACTTGTAACATGGATATTACAGAAAGTCACATCATTGCTAGCTAACTTTCATTGAAACTAATATTCAAACAGCCAAGTCCATCCAACTGGCCCAATACAAGTATTAATTTTTTAAAAATAACAAAAAGTAAAAATAATAAAAATAAAAATAAAATAAAAATAAGAATCAAAATCAAAATCAAAATCAAAATGCCTATGCATGTAGTTTGGGTAAATGTATAACATATCGAGCGAAATCATGAGGAGTATACTGTGGACTTTGTTTAGCATAAGAACTGGGATTCCGCAAGATCAAATTACAAGTTGATAACAAGATGGTGGTACAAGCAATATACTCCTCATCTTATCACCTATGTTCTATTTCGGATTTGATTTGAGCAATATGAGAGCATTTACATCAACAATAGAAAAGAAAATACAAATCATATTTATCGAGAAAGCAATAAGTTAGTTGATTTCATGACCAACAAAGGTTTTGAGATAGATGATGATTTTCGATTGTATGATGCCCCTTGACTAGAAACCACAAGCTTGTTGTCAAACGATTTATTGGGGATTTGTTTCCTCGCATGATTAGATTATAAAAGTATTAAAAAAAAATAAGTACTTTTTATAAAGCTAGAATGAGATGATTTTTTTTCCTATTATGTTAACAACATTTTTTTAAGAATTGACATTGTCAAAATTAAGTCACATCATAAATTTTAATTATATGTTATATTTCAATTTATGATGCACAATTAATTAATATAATAAAATGGGTATATAGAATAATTTTTTTTTAGAATATTGCGTAACAAAATTATTGTCATGTGAATAAAGTAAAGCTGTATTTCAATAAAACTAGTTTGCTTCCTAGGCGATGCGCTCAGGATGGTAAAATTTTTTTCTCAATTGAGTTTAGAATATTTATGAAATACATATACAATAGTAATTATATTATCATATATTAATCGTTGGTGTTCATTAACATGTGTAAAATATATAACTATTGTTATTATAGCTATTTCAATGGTATTTGTAGTAGTGCTTTTATACAAAAACACACCTATAAACAGCATAACAAAAACAAAATTTAAATAAAATCTCTAAACTTATGCTAAAAGAGAAAGAGAGATGAAAAATGAAAAAAAATCTAAAACCATGTAACTTTCAACAAATTCAATAGGTCACTTGTCCCGCATAAAAAAATAATTTTTTTTTTATAAAAAATCTAATCCAAACCTAATTCCGTCATTCCTCAAACTTATTTTTTAAAAATTTAATCCAATCCGATCTTAAGTCCGCATCTCAAAAACCTAATCATTTGTCAAGTCACTTAACCCCATCAGACTTCAAGCCCACGCTTTGAAAATGTAACCCTATCAAACTTGCAGCTTACACCTTAGAAATCCAACAATGTATCAAAAACCTTGAAGCCACCTATTAAAGGGGAAAAATCTAAAAAAGAGAAGAAGAAGAAGATAAAAAGGTCAAAAAGTAACAGAGCAATACATTAGTGGAACAAAAAACCCTCAATTAAGTCCAAAGCGAGCCTAAGCCCAAAAGCCGGCTAACCTCCGGTCCAAGTGTTCACCCCAGGGGAGATCTGGTTCAATTCAATTCAAACCCGAACGCTCCAAAGCGAACCATCGATAAACCCACTTCACTCTCTCCAACTCTCCCCTAAAACCCTAACAACGGCTCTCTTCAATCTCCCATGGCTCTCCATCTCGCCAGTCCCAAACGCCGATCCCTGACCAACCCTTCTCTCTTCCACCTTTTATCCACTTTCTCAAATCACCCAAACAGCGAAATCACCAATTCTACCGACAGCAACAGCCCGGGCAATGGCTCCAGCAGCGATAATCCCTCTTTAATCTCTTCTTACTTCAGCGATGTCAAAGCTGGCCTCAAACATCAATCAAATGAAAGACCCACTTCCCCCTCTTCACGAAACCGCGCAAATCCTTCCATTCCCACTCCCAAAACCACCCCCATAAGCTCATTCGTAGCGGAAATCCGCAAGAATCTTTCCGATTACCGCGAACGATCCGCCGTGCCACCTCCTACTGAATCCTCTGCTATACCTTCACAGTCAGGGCCCCATATTTCATTCCAAGAATTATACAAAAGAAATGCCTCAGCAAAACAAGGGGATTCCAATGTAAACCCTGCCAGTTCCGGTCCTGGCCGGAAATTGGGATTTGAAACCATAAGGGAAAGTCTAGGGCAAATTAAAAAGAAACCCGGGGCGACTAATGTGGAGGATAAAGCCGGGCCGTTTTGGTCTTTGTCTCATTATAAGGATAGTTTTAAGTTGAAGCCTTCAGAAGGCAATGTGGTTTATCCGGTGATTGGTGGGACAGAGCTGCCAAAGTCAGTTTTTGGGAGGGAGATGACGGAGAGGACCAAGGAAGGGGAGGCTGCGATGAAGACGGAGTTTGTTAAGATGTACAGTTATGGGGAGTTGGGGATGAGGTTGAAGCAGTTGCGGCCGGAGAGGAAAGGAGGGGAAGGATGGTTTTCCCTGCAGGAGTTGAATGAAAGGTTGATGAAGTTGAGGGAGATGGATGGTAAGGAGAGTGAGTCACGGATTGGTGAGTCTTTTAAGGATTTGCGGGAAAGCTTGTATAAGATTAAGAGGGCTGATGATGAGAAACAGAAAAGGTCCATGAGTAAGTTTTCAACTTGTGAATTTCTTAAGTCTTACGTCAGTTAGCATAAGGTATTTTGCATTGTTTCAGTGGATTGATGGTAAAAAACAAAAACCCTTAAATTTGGTACTTAATGGGGTGAAAGAGGGAAAGCACCAAGGTTATTCTTAGTAATTTGAAAGAATGTAACCTGGGATCATAAACTGGAACTCTATGGGAACTGAAAAAGAAACTAACAGTTAAGCCCTCCTCTTGATAAAAGAAGCATCTGGTGATTTTTAATTATTGACAATTTATTGAGGTTGATAGAAAATATGGCTTATTGGTTTAGTTTTTGCAAATAGGTAGACACTAATTATTTAGATTCTCATTCAAAAACAAGATAAAAACCTCAAGCTAATGCCTGCACCCGAGCATTTAGCTCATTGGTTGGTGCATGATCCCCTGTCTAAAGAGTAAAATTCGAATCCCCTTCTCTCAATTAGAAAAAAATATCCTCAAACTAATGCCTTTCTGGTTTTGCTAATCAAGCGATAGGAATTTTTCTTTTTTGTTGATTTTGGGTGTTTGACACAAAGTTTATTGTGTTTTTAAACCAGATGGCTGTCGCTACAAACACTATTAGACTGCTTGCAGATGAATACTTTGAGAACAGTGTTTCTAATTTTTGTTTTGAATTCTATTATGGGATCTTTGATAGGTTTGATCATTTGAACTATACTATTATCAGTTAGTTTTCTGGGTTTGAACTCTGAGGGAAGCAGGGTTTGTACAACTTAGGCTGTGTAATCTGATAGATATCGTTTGATGGGATATTGCCAATGTTTAGGGATCATGTCCGATGTCCTATGTGCAATGAAAGATGATATCTCTAATATCATTGAATTTATTGATCTCTTGTTTTTCCAGTCCAGAGAATTGATATTTTGGACCACTTGGGTAGAACTCCTAATTTTATGTTGCGCCCTCCAAAGGAGCATTTAGTTGAAAAGGCAAGTTTATTTTTTTCTCCTTTTCTTCTCAGGTTCTTGACTGATTGATAGTTAAAGACTTCAATTTGAGTCTGTGTGATTAACTGTCTTACTGACTCAAACTGCACATATGCATATACTAATCAGGAGCTGTCTGTCATATGCATCTTCTTTGTTCTTCTAGTGCACATTTCTTGCTAATAGAATTGGAAATATGAAATAAAAAAATTCATTCTTATTTGATGCTTGCATTATTATTTGAAAATTTTTTTTTGATGGATATCTGGAATAAATTTAACTTGCTTAGTTGCTTAGTCTTGTCTCCGTCTATAATTTTGTTTTATCTTTTATAGAGTTGTTGTAACTGACCTCTAAGACTGCATTTGACATAAATTGTTGACCTAAAGGTCAGTGTTTCGAGCCTTGCTTAAATCATGCAACCTATCCCTGTGTTACTATGACTGAATTGTTTCAGTAGTTTTACTTAACGAAAACCATTAATATTTTTGCCCTAATTCTTCTACAATGGCTTTGCAGTATTTCCATCCAGATAACATGTCTTCTGCTGAAAAACTGAAAATTGAGCTTGCAAAAGTGAGAGACGAATTTAAGATGTCAGAGTCAGACTGTGGATCTGCACGTGTTCAAGGTGAACTATACTAACTTTTTAAGTAGTATATTTAACCATCATGGCTCCAAGTATTCCTTAATTTGTTGATGTGTCATAGAATATATAATTTTCATCCTTCACATGAATGGTTCTAGCTACTTTATTTGAATTTTTCATCTGATTGTTTCGTAGACCAGTATTGAACCTTATATGTACTGTGTTCTAGTTCCTTTTTGCGTATGTTAAATTAGAAGAGTTTGGTTTATTGTTTTTCAATTTTTCAGTTTCTAGTATTAAATGATAGAATAAGGAACAAGATATAATTGAAAATAAAGTTAAAATAGATGTTCTATGCAAAAAGATGTTATTATCTGGTATGCGGAATCCAATATTCAAAAAGGATGTTCTTTTTGGAATGGTAGCGCAGACTGTGATTTTTGAGAAGATGTAGAGAGCCTGTGAAATATTAGTCTATATTTGGGGTGTAAGCACCATTTGTGGTCCAATATTCAAAGGGATATTCTTTTTGGACTGGTAGTGCACACTGTGATTTCTGAGAAGATGGAGAGAATTTTTGAAATGTTAGTCTATATTTGGGGTGTGAGCACCATTTTGTGTTTTCACTTTTATTTCTGAAAAGCAAATTTCTTTCATTAATAAAGGTTGACCCCAAGTACATGAATGCCGACATAAGTCTGTTGCCATGTGAATAAGTTACAGACTCTTGTTGGCATAGCCGTACATCTCAGCATCAACCTTAAACTCAGCAACGCTGAAGACACTTAAATTTTGTAAATATCCCTTCAGCGAAGCTAAACCCCCAATGTATTCTATCAGCTAGTGTGGACCAAAGAAGTCCTAAACCCCAGTGGCTCTATCCCCACCCCTGTACTATAAAGGATGGCACTGAACACCACTGTTAACACCCATTGATCTAAAGAGTTCTCCAATCACTTCCTACCATCTAGATGTTAGCTGAATTGGACTTGATTGCCTGGCCAAGATGTGGATAGAAGAGATGGAGACTAACTGACAGCACCAGGCACCCCACGGGCCATAACCCTTCTGTTCACCTGGATCACTCGTGACGGCAGAGTTGCAAGAGAGTAACATATCTGGAACCTTTCAGTCAAACAGGACCTGCAAGGGAGTATCCCCACATGGCAATAGGACCATAACCAGATCACAAACAGCAGGCCCCAAGAACAAAACATCTCCACTAGACAAGATTCCCCGGAGTATAGATGCATTCTAATGAGCTTAGAATTATCCGCCTATAATTGATAAAATGGCAGATAAATTAAGATCAAAGTCAAAACTAGTTGTATGACTTAGAGGTATACCCCACCAGATGCTTACCTGCACATTTACAAAATATTATCACTTTCTCTCAATTTTTTAATACTTAATATATATATATATATATATATTCTTTCTCTTATTTTTTTAGTCTCATAATTTTTACTGTCAACCAGCTTTCCATCTCTTATTTTAGACTCTTCTCTTCCCCTAAATGTAAGGATTCTTCATAAATGATCTCTCTCTCTCTCTCTCTCCTCCCCCTCCTGGACCCCACCGCCCCCCGCCCCCCCCTTCTTCTAGACTTAAACTTTGGGTCAAAGACCCCCTCCTCTACAAACTGCCAGCGTTCCTGCAGCCTATCCCCTTCATTACTATCCCTCCCCGATATAGTGAAAGAAACTCATCCAGAAACAAACCCCCCTCCCTGAGACTAAAAGGGTCACCCTCCCAAGTACTCATCCCAACGATCAATTAAACCAAACCATGGCTGACCCACACAGCCTTCTTCTCACCTATCTTTCCCTTTTACATTGAAGCATCATCGATCTTCCCAACTCAAAGATACCCCTCCACTCCCCAAGACATCTCCCCCCAACCCTTACCTCTACTACTTATCACCAGTGTCATCAACAAACCGAGAGAGGCACACAAATAAGACCTCTTTCCTGTGTGTGCTCTCTAGAAAATAAGCTTTTGTGCTATTATGCTTTTTTGCAAGTTTGATTAACATCTTTTTTGGATAATTGAATTTTTGTTCAGTTATCCAAACATTGTATGGATAAAGAATGTAGGATACGTGATCGTTTTTTAGTAAAGTGCTTTGTGGGATATATTGTTGTCGAGTTTAACCTTTGAGGTTTTCTGAACTTTGGGGAGAAAAGAAATGTGAATCAGTTAAGGAAATTTTAATTGTTTTAAATGAGGTCCTGTTCTGATCCTTGGAAGCCTTAACAGCCTTGAAAATAATGGATTTATGAAGGCTATCCATTGCATTTTTTGAGTTTTGATTTTGAGAAAATCATATGGGATGTGTCAACTGCTGTCTAGCTCAAACCCTTTTGTATTTGTCTTGAAAATATCCACTCTTTGATTTTGGCTACGATGCAGGAGTTGCTGCAGCATTTATACATGCAAGTTTAGTCTGCAGCCATATGTTTAGAGATCTGTGGAAATATTTGTATGCTACTGGTTTTCTTCTGTATGGTAGTAAACTCTTAAGTAGGGCTGGCAATTCGTGTTAACATGTCATGTTAGCGGGTAGTGTCCAAATTGTCAGGTCTACTCATAAGTAATAGAGATTGGACAGTTAGATTGGTTGGTGATGCTATTTGTTTTTTACTAATTGGATTAGAAGGATGGGGTAATGAAATATTCCTCAGATATGGAAATTATTTCAAAAATTTGATATTAGTATTGTTAATCTTGGAGTTATTCATCAATAATGATGTTTTTAGTCAAGGTTCATTGATGTCCTTTCTCTTGATTTCCCTGCAGTGGCACAACTCACAACCAAGATCAAGCATCTATCATCAGTTCTGCATAAAAAGGTGATAACATAAATGGGTTCTCATTATACTTAGGTGCTTAATAATGTAATAGTATGTCATATGCTATTTTACTTAACTCTTGGTGATATGAGATGGTTTTGTGAAGTGTTAATGGTTATTGCTTTGCAAATGTTGAGTGATCAGCATGTTATAGGCTCGTAACTTATTTTAGCTTGATCTCTTATTATGAAAAAAAAAAATGGTTGGCGGGAGGGGGGTGAGGAAGAAAGATGCTTGATCTCTTAAGGATGCGTAGAAGAAGAAGCTTGACCTCTTACGGTAAGTTTGGTAGGAAGGAAGGAAAATAGGAGGAAGGGGAAAAGGCAAGGAAAGAAAAAACAAAGGAGAGGAAGGAAAGTTGTTTTTCCTCCTTTGTGTTGGTATGAAAGATGGAAAATAGAGATAATGAAAGAGGACTGGGGTAAAATTGTAAATAAGTTAAATAGAAAGAGTGTTTTTCTCCTGAAAGGATTGGATTTAGAGGGAAAGGAAATGTTTTTCCTTCCCTCATATTTTCCTCCTACCAAATGAAAGGAAGGGAAGGAAAGAAACACTATTTCCTTCTACTCCCATTGCTTCCTTTTCCCTCCTACCAAACAATGTTAGGGATGCACAAGAACAGTGTGTATCCCCTGCTGTGAATAACTCTGATATCTTTTTCTCTTAAACTCTGCCCTAGTTCTATCTTTGCTACTGGTGAGTTTATATTCTCTAATAGCACTGTTGGCTATTATCTTTTTATCAATATCCCTCATGTCCTTTGATTACTTTTGATGTTCCTTTGTTTTCCTGCAAAAAGAAGAAAATGGAGAAATGCCAATGCATTACTATCAATGTTGTCATATATTTGAAATTTTAAATTCTTGAACGCTTTGTCAAGTTGTATGCATTCAAGTGTTCTGGAGATACCAGATATGTGGTTTAAAATGTGAGATCTGAGATTTTGCTAGATGAACTAATGATATTTGGCATGGAGATGACCTAGAAGAGCATTGCTCTTTTGCGAGTTGCTCTTTATTCTTTTCACTTTCCTTGCATCAATTTTTTATTATGTCAAATTTCACTAATGGTTTGCTTGGGAACATGAATTTGGGGGGCTGGATTTGGGTTTGAAGCAACTACATTATTTGAGAACGATTTTAAGTAGTTGCATTTGGGTGGGAGCAAATACACTAGGGACTTTAAAGGGGTCTAATGTTAAGATTTTCTTTATAGTTTCTATTGATTTCTGTTGCCTACCTGATATATCTTTAATAATGCCTGCTTCAGCCACCAAAGAATTTTTGGATCATTGTTAGTGCAGGAAATTTCTTCACATTTTGAGGCTGATACCTACTGGGTTTTCTTAATTTCCTTGGAATTTGCTATTGTCAAAGTAGCATAGTCACTATAATATCCTTGGGATTTTTGGGGGGTGGCAGGGAGAGAGGTAATGTAGTTTGAATGTCTGCTCCATTTGTGAAGTGGCTCTAGCAATCATACCCTTGGCTGGACCTGCATGGCAAAAAGCTGCAATTATATGTTGCAGGGACAATAGCTCTGATTGAACCAGAGGTCATTGCCTTTCAAAATATGAACGTATGTGATCCAGGTTGCTAATACTAAATGGCATTTTTTCTTCATTAGAAACAATGAAGTATATTCTGGTCAATAACATGATTTGTGGAAGTTTATTTTATTAATAAAAAGCTAACAATGTGCCTGAAAATCCAAGGCATTTTATTTATTTTATTTTATTTTAATCATTTTTGTTTAGGATAAGCACTCAAGGAAGGGTCTTATAGCGATGGTGCAGAAGAGGAAGAAGTTGTTGAAGTATCTGCGTAGAACTGACTGGGATTCCTACTGTCTTGTTCTCTCAAAGCTTGGTCTCAGGGATAATCCAGATTACAAGAACTAGAATGGTCAGCAAGAGAAGAGCTAGAGTAGAAAACTTTCAGAACCAGAGTACACAACTATGTAACATCTTTTCCTTATACCTGCCTATATGAAATTCAATGAGGTTGATGGACAATTTTTCAGCTAGATGGAGGAAAAATTCAATTGAATTTTTTTCTTTTTACATCCTTGGTTTTTGAGACACATTCTATGCCTGTAGGAAATGATTGTAAGATTATTTGAGTTCTGAATTAACAGCCGAAGTATGTAGGGGAAGTGCTGGAGAAATTGTTCATATGTTTCTTTCAATAAAATCCTATTTCAAGAAGCTTGTTGCTCTTGCAGTGGAATTTTGTTGAGCTATTTCACTTTACAGTCATATCCATCATAGTCCTGAATATAGAATACTAAAGCCTTGTTACATTGAATTGGAATGATTGATGCATAGAAGTAAGCTTGTGTCCTATTAGATTCAAGTTGTTGAAACATTAAATGGGATTAGATTTCTTAGGGGTCAAAAGACCCTTTCAGTTCTTATACTCTTTAATTTTATTCAATTTAATCTTTGTACTTAAAATAAAAGTAATTTATTTTTTTTTATTTTAAAAATTACATTAATTTAGTCTCTCCTTTTAATAGTATTTAATTTTGCTGTTAAAGGATGATGTTAGTGCTGATGTTGGTGATGATGTATCACATTTTGATGATGTGGCATGTTATGTGGCATCAAGTGATGACATGGTAATGTCACGTGACATTATACGATGATGTGGTAGTGTTGACGTGGTATTGGTATGTTGACATGTCCGTGTTAGGTGACAAATCAAAATTTTTTTTTTTTTAAAAAATTATGTCATGTCATAAAGACTAAATTGAATAAAAATATATAGTACAGGAATTAATTAAGCAAAATTGAGATGTTGAAGGTCTAAATTGAAAAAAAATTTGAAAAATATAAATCTTTAAGTAGATTATTGTTATGCTTATCTATAAATCAAATATTTAAGTGTAAAAAATTTATAGTGTTAAAAAATATATATAAATATTTTCTTACTTAATTATTTGATTTTAGAATATATAATTAATTTATCTTTTTTTATGAAAATTAAGATTGATTCCTCCTATAAAAAAATTTTAAAAAAATTGTATATCTAAAGTCAAATTTGGATGAATAACTTGTATTATGTTAAAATAAAATAATATAAGATGACTAAATATATTGATTTAGTTATAACTTTCACAATTTACAAATATACATTTTTTAAAAATTATTCAACTTTTACTCAATTTACATTCTATTAAAATTTACTCAAATTAGCAAAATATGTTGATTTAGTTACAATTTTTACAATTTACAAATAAATATTCTTTTGGAATTATTCAACTCTTACCTAATCTACCTTTTATTTAAATTTACTCAAAATTTCTTATAAAATAATTTTATTTAAATTCAAATACCACAATCAAATTCTGCTAAATTTAAATTTAAATTATTAATTTAGATCTACAAAAAATTTGTTAATAAAAGAAAATGATATAAATATTTATAGTTATATTTAACTTTATCAACCATAAATGCAGTTTTTAATGTAAAAAATTTCAACTTAAAAAATATAACTTGAAATATTAAATAAGTAGAAATATAAAAAATAAATAAAAAATTAGAATGGTGGAGTTCAAATTTTATGGTTGTAATAAGAGGTTTGTTATATTCAAATTAAACAAGTCAAAACGAAAAACTATTTTTATAATCATCACTAATTCCATATCTCCGTTCTTCATTTTTTTTTAAAAAAAAAGCTAAATCAACATATTTTGCTAATTTGACTTTAGCTCAAGCTAAAAACTAAGTTAAATAAATTTCAAACTTTTTACTATTATAAATAGAAGAAAATTTTTTTTTAGTCATTTTATGTTATTATATGTTAATGTAATGTCAGTTATTCATCTAAATTTGACTTCAAGTATAGAATTTTTTTAAATTATTTTTTATAGAAGAAGTATTCAAACTTAATTCTTATAAAAAAAATATAAATTAATTTATATATTTTAGAATCAACTAATCAAGTAAAAATATATATATATATATTTTAACATCATAAATCTTTTACACTTAAATATTTAACTTATTAATAAGCATACCATAATCTACTTAAAGATTTGTACTTTTAAATTTTTTTTTCAATTTAGTCCTTTAACATCTCAATTTTGTTCAATTTAATCCTTGTACTATATATTTTTGTTCAATTTAATCCATATGACGTGGTAAAATTTTTTTTTGAAAATTTTTGATCTACCACGTGGCATTGCCATGTTAGCATGTCAGTGCCACATGCCATTGCCACATCATCACTCACGTATTACGTGGCATGCCACGTCATCAAAATGTGACACGTCAGCGCTGATGTTATTACTGATGTCATCTTTTAATGGTAAAATTAGATGCCATTAGAAGGAAAAATTAAATTGATGCAATTCCTAAACTTAAAGGATTAAATTACTTTGATTTTGAGTATAGAGACTAAATTGAACAAAGTCGAAGAGCATAAGGACTAAAGGGTCTTTTGACCATTTTTTGGGTTTTCTAGTATGACATCCTTTTTGGGCTTTTCAATAAGGTGAAATTTATAGTAGCTTTAATTTTATTGTAAGATCAATTAATATAATTTTTAAAAATATAATAAAATTTTGTTTAACAGATTACCAGCTAAATAATATAATTAATTTATAATCGTATCCATATCATAACTAATTTATAAACTTATATATTTTGTATTAACATCATAAGTAATTTTAATCTTATTTATTTTTATTTTTATTTTTTTACCTTAAAATATAAAAATATTATTATTTTTAAGATTAATATTATATCTAACTAATTTAATTCTATTAAAATTATTATTATAACTTGTGTTAAATTTTACATATTTATGTTAACATTATATCTTTTCAATACTTGCCCGAATCAATTCGATTATCCTTTTAGGAAAAACAAAATATATAATTAACAATGATAATCTTATTATTTTTTTAAAAAAAGTTATTAAATTTTCAAAAAGTTAAAATATTTCAAACTAATATATTTTTACCATGAATAATTTTCTTCAATTGTGCCAAAAATTTAAAATGAGTAAATGTCTTCAAATTGAAGCCATAGGATTATTAAGCATTTTCCATTGAGTCGAGGGATTTCATTTTTTTTTCATTAACCTTTTCAATTAGTATTTAACATTTAATATTATAAAATGATTGGTCACTATCAAATAAGGATGTGAAATTTATTAATAATAATAATAATAATAATTGATAATATACAGTACCTTAAAAAGAATTTTTACTGTAAATGATTATAAGTTATGATTTGTACTAATGATTTTTTCCCCCAAAATTTGAAGATATCAAGTAGCAATTTTGTAACAGCTTTTGTGATTATTGTGAGGCGACAAGACCCACCATTGTATTGCATTGTCCAACGTCAAATTTAAATTACACAAAGAGTTGGCATATTCGGAATTAAAAGTCTAAAAGAGTCGTTATCAATTTTGTTTTTTTTTAAATGTGATTAATCACTTAAACTATGAATTTTAAATTTGCCTTAGATTTAATTAAAAAATAAATTTCAATTTACGGAATAGAATTAAAATTTGAAAATATAATTACAAGTGGAGAAGATATTGACATTTATGTCAATTGAAAATATAATAAACGTTGCGTTTATGTCAATTAATCAAGTAAGAATTAGAGATAGTAAAATGTTTAATATTATTACAGTGAAAATATTGTTGAAAGATAAATATGAAAAATAGGCATAATGCTAAATTAGTATTAAAATATAATTCAATTTCGTATAAAATTGGAAAGGAGTGTTGAATTGTCAAGTTAAAGTTACATCAAATTAATTACGTCCGACACACAGCACGGTTCCTTAACAAATAGCCTTTTAAATGGCCAATGCTTTCTCGACGTGTTTGGCCTTTCTTAATAACAAGTAGTTATATATATATGTACCCTCTGCCAACATTTTCTCGAGAAAGTGACATCTCAACTCTCATCATGAATCTTTGTTGCCACGTTGCAAAACCAAGACTCATCATCATAATAAGATCGTAAATTTCTCTGGTCTATCACTCGTTAAATATCTACTTGATTTTGTTTTATTTTTATTTTTACTATTTGTTTCTATTTGTATTAACATCTAAATGTAATGTTACAGAGTCAAGTGATATCAATTCCGTTAATAAAATTACATAAAATTTTAATAGATTAATTTAATAACATATAAAAATATAAATACATTGATCACTCCACTTTTTAAGTATATTATTTTTAAATTATTTAAATTACTTTTTATTCATTTAACGTGCACATTTTTTTTATTTAAAAAAAAGCACAATTTTTTTTTACTCAAACAATCAAATTTTACTTATTATAGAAGGTTAAGCAGCTTCACAGCACAATGAAGTTAAAGAACAACGGAGAGTTACAACCAATTATAAATTACAACCCCATTCATCAATACAAATAAGTCAAGAGCAAGATAACAAATATTACAGTTCCTTCTCTTAGTTATCAACATGCACTAAACATATTAGGTAGATCTACACTCATCTTTGCTAATGAATTTACAGAGTGTCTCGTTTTCCTATAAATTTGTTTTTTGTATTTGACATCACCAATATTTTTTGCAACTTATCGATTTTCGTAAAGATCTTACACCCCGTTCATAATCTCTTGTCCGCCATTGATACTCATGCACGCGTAACATTGAGATTTGATTATAAGGATTTCAGACATTTCCATGGAGAAGAGGCATAGAATTGAAGAGCAATTCTTTTTGCCAACACCTTTGAAAATGAAGGACATTCGATCATGGTAAGACGAAGCATATGCAACGAAATATTAAAAATTTTAATTCTTTAATTCATGGATCACTTTAATTAAAATTAATTTAAAAAAATTATAACAAAAAAATTTTGATATATATGAAAGTTTGATGTCGGTTTGACTTTTCGTTTTTTTGAATTTTATATACCAATTAAGACTTATCAAACCATAGCACTATAATTATCTTGTCTCTAATAATAATTCACATAGTGATTTGTCGAAATCTTTTCACTAAAATTGTGTAAATCCTTGAGTCAAAGTTTGTGCGAGCAAATTCTCAACTTTGAAATCTCTTGTGTTTATTTCCTTTTAGTTATGATCTTATCTCAACACATAAGAAAATAAAATAGAGCTCTTTTATATGTTCAAGAGGTGGCTAAATGATTAACTTTTATAGAGTGAATTGACTTACTTCATATCCAACAAGGATTAGAAAATGTCTTG